CTGAGCGACGAGAGGATATCCTCCCCAAGTAAGTGGTGCAGCCCTGCGACAGGCTGGCCTTGGCCTCTCTGGATTTCGGTGTGCTGGAGGGAGTGGTGAGTGTTGTCTTTTGGTGTCCAGGCAGGGCTGTAGCTGCTCCTTGGGACTGCATTCCTGTGGAAGCTGAGTGAGCAACTCAGGTTTCATCCTCGCACTCATTTCATCTTGCCTTAAATTCTTCCCATAAAAATAAATAACATTTTTGGAACAGCATGATTTTGGGTTTTGCATTACACAGCTGCTCTGGACTACTGTGTCACCTCGGTACGGCTCTCATAGCAAGGCAGGGATTGGCGCTGACCAGGTCTTAAAACAGGGTGCTCCAAGAAGCATGCAGAGAGCTTCCAGAAATGGTTTTCTCTGAGGATCTAGTTTCCAGGTCAAAACCCACTCCTTTCTGCAGTGTCGTGCAGGGGAACACTGACGTCCCTCTGAGACTGAGAGAACCAGGCCTTCAACATTAGTGTTTTGCCCAGATCTGTAGCCTTAAAACCATCACCCACCATATGAAGAAGGTAGAATTATTCCTTGGTCTGTCCAGCCCTGGCCCAGTCAGACATTTCCCATTGTCTGCAGCTTTGACATTTGCTCAGCTTTGTCCTGCTCAGGCCCTTTGGCATTCAGTGTCACAAAAGCGTGCTCGTTACCTAGATGCTAGAGACTCAGAGAGTTATGGGAGTTGCAGCACAAGCCAAGCAGCAATGGTACTGCCAGCTGTGAGCTTGGCTGTGTGCTGGGGGTACGCTCGTCATTTTCCCCCATGCAATGGGAATTTTGCTGCTGACGCTGCTGGAGGCATGCCCTTGGGGCCACGCAGCTAGCAGCAAGTGAATCAGTGCTGAGAACTGTTTGGATTTTTAACTGCAGTTTAGAGGTGCACGGCTGGGTGAGAGCAGTCAGCTCTCAGAGTCTCTGCAAGAGTCTGTAGTTGTCCTGCTGTGTGGTGCCATGCCCGTAATCTGTCCGTGTCTCCCCAATTAGCCACCCTGCCGCAGCCAGACGATGATGATCCTCCACCCTTGCCCGAGCGAACCCCCGAGTCCTTTATTGTGGCCAGTGAAGCTGGTAAGTGCATTTAACAAAGCAGGGGCTGGGAAGTGCTCTGAGGGCTCTGCCCTTGTTGGTGTGGTATCGCAGCACCCAGCAGTGCCTTTGCTCTGGCTGTCTGGGATGAGAAATGACCTCTCTTGTGTTCAATTGTTTCTAGGACAATTTCCTCTGGTCACTTCTGATTTTCAGCTTCCGGACAGAAATAAAAATATCGGAACCTCTTTGGAGTGGAGTGGTGAGTCCCACTCAGAGGTGTTTAATGAGTCGGTGAGACTGAGACCATGTAAGGTAAGTAAGTGGCTTTTTATCCCTTCTCCAGCACTATCACTACGCAGATTTCCTTATCACGTTTCCTTGTGTGACAAAGACCCCAGTTTTGGCACTGTGTACTTTCCATAAATTATTTCAGGGTTCAGGACTGGGAGGAAGATGGGCCCTCAGTGAGGCTCCTCCATATCAACATCTACTTTACTCCAAACATTATTTTTTGGGGTCCTAAATCCCATACCAGATAGTAAAAATACTGTCCCTATTTTAGAGAATGGCAATGAAGACAGGGAGTTAGTGGTCCCCTGAGGTTCACACCGCCCCGTGGAACAGGCAGGAGCTGAACAAAATTTAGGCATCTCTTGATCATCTGTAGCTTTGTAAAGTGAAACAATAAGGCGTAAGTCTATCTTCCATTACATGAGCGTGGAGGTGTGTGTGGGAGGGTGTTTGCACGTAACATCATTTCTTTGTCTTCTCTGGCTTGTTTATGTGCAAGAGAATGACATTTGGTTGTGGGAATTTCAAATACCTTGTTTTTTGTTTCCAGAGTATGAAGCTTCGGAGCCCACAAACAGGTATAAGTTTAATGCTGGGATGAAGTATCTTTGGAAATAAGCTCTGCTTTTTACTGAAGCTGCTTTGCCATATTCAGTAAATGTCTTTAGGATCTGTGCTCAGTCCAAGAGAAATTTTTTGTTGCTAACTAGTTCTGCAACTAAATAGTTCTAAATAGAACTAGACAGTTCTGCAACCAAATGAACTGGTAGTCTTTTATTTCCTGATCAGCTCCTGCCTCACCCTGTACATGACGATGTCCCTTGCAGCCTCCTCAGGCTGAGGGCTGTCAGATCTTTCGCTGCATGTTGTGTGTTTCCTTTGAGACGACTGAGATATGCTGATTAGAGCGCTGTGGACTTCTGAGTGAACAGAGGGAGAGAGAGAGCTTATATATATATATATATA